TAGACTGGCTTCTGGGATGGGTTACAATTACCACCCAGGTGAGCCAAAAATCTTCCCACTAACCCTCTCCCTGAGGCTCCAGATGAACACGGCACCCGTTTATTCCTCAGGATCTCCATGGGAACGGGATCAGAGAGGGAGAAAGGCAAAGATCAGACCTGATAACAGACCAGGCTAGATAATAGACCAGATCAGAGAGAAATTGTGTGTGTGTGTGTGTGGAGGGGGGGTGATATGTGCCATTCTTCACGCACCACAGTAAACAGAACAAACTTGCTGCAAAACCCGTTGCATTGGGGAAGAAAACAAAGTTACATAAAGTGTGGGGGGGGTGTTTTTTCACAGCAAATTAAACACAGCAGTGATATCGGTGCAGCGAGCTTGTGGGGAAAAGCAAGAGCTGAAAAGAAAAGCTTGCTCTTTTCAGTTTCTGCAGGGAGGAAAATAATGCAGTTAGCAAAGCAGGGAGAGAAGACATTCCTTCACACATATCCTCCCCGCTCCCTGCCAGCCCTCCGGGGAACTTGGTGTAGGAAAATACCCTTGGTGGTCTCGTGTCCTCCCCTTCTCTCCAGCCATGGCCTGGGGAGTCTTCCAGCAGGCTGCGGCCAGCGTCAGCTTTCAGCCAGGCCAGGGCGAGGTCTGGGGAGGCCGGGGTCTGCTGAGCCCGTTGAAAACCTCCTTCCCTCCCTTCTGAGAGACATCTCTTCACTGGAGGCAAAGCAGCCACTGCGGTGTGGATACACCGGCTTTTATGGTGGGATGGGGAAAGGCTTGACAGCGGGCTGGCAGAGCAGGACCGCAGCACCAGCGCTGCTAGCCCACTGCTAGATGTTTCCAAAGAGATGCCTGTGCTGCAGTCCCAGCCCCAGCTGGGCTGTCAGCGTAAGGATATCTGAACTCTAACACACATACTGCGTTTGTAGTTGCAGAACAGAGAAATCCCTGCAAGATGACATATGAGTTTGTAGTTTTTTTCTCTGTTTCCATGCTGTGGTATCTTGAGTGAGTGGGCATCGGCTTCGCGTCTTGAAAATGCCTCTGTATTGGTCTACACCAGCACATTTCTCCTGCCCAGGACAACGTGAAGCAATAGGGGCCATACCAATGTACTGCACTGCCAAAGAGAAAGGCTTTTGCTCTCCATCCAGGCCTGCACTGGTATTCGCTGCTTGCCACAACATCTACTCACCTCTCTCCTGATGGTAGCAGTGTCCGGGACAAGCACAGGCAGCAACTTAGTCTTAGTTTCTGCCTCTGCCCATCTCTTCTTCATGTTATCTTCTTGTCTGCTCTTCTCCGCTTGCTTCTAGCTAGGGGAATGAAACCAAAGATGGTTACCAGTCAGGGAAGTAGCTTTGTTGCCGTCCTCATCCCTGATGTATTTGGAAGTAGAAGTTTTCCAGAAGATCAGACAGCACAAATCTCCTCAGGCTTCCCACTGAGGCTGCTCTGTTCCTGGAAGCTTGGATCTGCCCGTCCTGGCATTGCTCCACCGCGTTCAACGCTGATGCTGCTTGGGTGATCTTCGCATCACCTTTGCTGAACGTTTTGTGGCCCCAGAGTGCTTCAGGATGCCCATTAGCTTCTCCACAAGGAGCTAGTGGGAGAGGGACTGATGGATGCTGGCATCTTTGCTTGCCTGCACCCCTAGCTGCAGAAGGCTACTGCTGCCTCTCCTCACAAGGCTGTGTTTTAGCACACTTGGACGGGGTTTCACCATCACACCTGACAGTATAGCAGCCAGAGCAGCTCCCGGGGCTCTGCCCACATAGAGGACATGCAGAGGGCCACCCAAAGCAGTTGCAAAGCTTCCTCATCCCAAATAAAGCATGTGTATCTCTGAAGATACTTCCTCACAACCATATTGAAGTAAAAACCAAGGCACGAAGGTACAACCATATTTATTCCATGATCTGTTGCTACAAGCCTGGCAAACTGGCTGAGGCTTTAACCATTCCTCTCAGACACAGAGAGGTTTTTGCCCAGAGCGCTCCTGAAGGCATGCCATTTTTCAGTGTACAGCCCATAACAGGCTTTTGAGGGGGGAAAAGTACATAGTACCTATACTTTTACCTACTAACTGCTGCTCAACCACTGCACTGTAACACTTATGTTTTGCTCTTTGATGCCAGTCCACCACCTCTTGCTTTTGCAAGTATTTAGAAAAACAGTAGAACGTGCTCTCTCTCTGCACCACATAGCCCTGATTCTGACATTTTCATGAAATAGCACTGAGGGGTTTGGCAGGCAAGGCGCAGCTGATGCCACCCGGCATCTGAAGTTTATTGCCTCCTTTCCACAAGGAGGAAAAGGCAGCTGCTCTCTGGTCAGGTTGGCTGGCTCCAAGCGCTCTCCACTGGGGTCTGTTCAGCTCGGCTCAGCTGACGAACTTGTGGAAATCGTCAATAATGTCAAAATTGGCTTCTGCTCTGCAGCAGGTCCATCACCGATTTGTTTTTCTCTAAGCAGACAAGCTGTGGGATATGCACTCTAAGCAGTCCTAACTATCGTCTCATTCCGATTTCGTTATTTTTGGGTCCATAGTTCAGATTTATTCCCCACTTACAGAAGTGGCAAAGGGCCACTAACACAGACATCATTTTTCCCCTGCACACCTACCTTCCCCCCCAGCACCCCAACGACTTAGAAAAGTGTCCAACTCCTTCCTCCCACCCCCAAAAAGCCGTCTGTATTTTGCAAGAAGGGAAAGCTGTAGCTCAAAATGATTGTTGCTTCAGAAAAGAAAAGAAAAAGATGACAGTGGGAACTAATGCTCCTCCTGCCTCTCACCACCGCAACATCCAGATGGAGGCCAAACTGTAAAAGTCAGGACAGGGTGATGCTAGTCTGAGCGAGCAACCATGCCCCAGGGAAATAGGAGCCTTTGTCTCTTTGGATAAAACGGATCCCTCGTCCCTTCACTTTCCGCTCCCTGTGCTGTAGCGCTGCTCTCTCGGATCACTTACGGAAGCTCTTCCCCCTCCCCCAGACGCAATCCTCAATGTGCGCTAGAGAAAACCGGGCTGCCAGCAGCCGTATGCTGGAGTTGCCTTGGTTCGTCACAGCAGATTTCAGGGCTTTTGCAGCAGAGGGAACAGGGCAGCAGAACTGTTTCCACTGGCAGCAGCTGAAAACGGATTTTCTTTCCAGGGTCTGTAAAGTGTGTTTATGTCCCAGCCCCCCCCCCCCCCCCCCCAATTTAGGGAAACCAGGTTTGGGACAGACTCTACAAGAGCAAACTGAAATCAAATTTAACAGTTTACGCACTGTACCAGAACGGAGTTCAAGGGGTGTGGGGGAGAGAGTGCCTGTAAATTGCCAGTTGGAAAGATCCATTAAAAAAAAAAAAAACCAAAACAGTGATACAAAAAGAATCTGCTTGCAGGCACAGCCTCGAGCAAAAACACACAAAGCCATGAAGGAGAGGGAAATGCCTGCGCTGATGTGTCCTCAGCCAAAAAAATACGCTCAGGGCAATACGCACAGACTAAAGGGAAACAAACCAGACTGATGCAGCTGGACCCAAAACAAAGTCCTAGAGGAACTACATGCCCTGATCTGCCGCTCCAGGTCCTGAATATTCAAACACTGTACAAACAGGCTGTCATCAACAGGGACAGCTGACATTTTGGTCAGGTGGATAGGACATTCAATAGGAAGTGCAAATTCCAGAGAACGGTATTTAACCTGGATATCCCATTGCCTGGATGAAATGCTTTGACCACTACGTTAGCCGAGAAGGTCATTTTTCCCCCTGCTCTGTTCCATTCCTGTTCCCATCACCAAAATTCCCTTGATGAGCTTTGAATCAATTGAACTCCAAATTTTCGGTGAAAAAAAACTGTTTAACTATGAACTCTCCTGACTCTAGTTGTCCCTTTTTAATTCCTGAGGGTGGAAAATAGCAAACTGTATCATTGCAGAGCACTGACACCTGCTGATAAAATAATCCTGACATTTGCTTGCTGCAGATTAAAGAAAGACCCAGCAATTACTGAAACGCCTGCAAGTTTTGGTTCTGTTGGTGACCATCTTTACTCTCCATCACTACAGTACACTAACGTTTAGCATTAGGTAACAAATTTCCCATCCTCAATAACTAGCAAAAACGTGCTCATCCAAAGGTAGCATCGTGAACAACCAGAAATTTACTGTGCATACCACTGCTGACATGAAGGGGGACAAGCTTTTGTAGTAGGAAGAATTTCTTTTACCTTGTCTGAGTTACAGGCATCTGCTGAGGCTGTCAACAAGGGCCAACAAGGGAACCAAACAAAGCATTATGTACTTTTCAGAATAACAACTTTTGGCCAGTAAGAACTGTGTCTTGGCTTGAAATGGGGGAATTCCAGTAGAAAGCCAACCAAGAATTATTTTTTTCACACATCGGTTATTTTTAGCTCTGCAGTCAATTTAGCATGTGAGCTACCTGAGCCTACTTTCACCTGACACACGAAAGCGCTATATGAGCACTGACAAAAATTGGCCTTCAGCTAAAGTCTCCCAAGCTAAATAGATAGCACTGAGAACGGTTAATGACATTTTCCTCTGTAACGGAGCCGGTCTAGTTAAACTCAAGAGTAGAAGCAATAGAAAGTACTTTCTAATAATGACACAATCCCTAATTATATGGATCATCATTTCAACTCCACTGCAAGAAAGTGTGTCCGCCTGAGAATACTATTTGCATAAATTACACTTAGCCAGGCCATGTCTTGCTCCCATTATACTACACAGGATGAAGCCTAATGCTGACTTCAGTGAGCCTGAGGTGTGGTTCTTAAGTTGCTATGGAGTAAGACCAAACCCTCAGTCAAAAACTGGGGGCAGTGACAAGAGTATTTGCCCAGGAAGTTCTCCTATAAAAACAGGACATTTGCCTCCCAAAGTGTTGCCAATATGAATGAACAAAAGCGTACCTGAACTCCCCAGTCTTCAGAAAATTCTTCTGCTTTCTCATTCACCAACTTCCCACTCATAAAAACAAGACAAAAATGTAGAGAGGAAGCTCCAGCAAGATTTTATTCAATGGTGTACAATAGAGAGATATTGAGATTGAAGCAAAATAGTACACATATTTTTCAAATTGCTAAAACAAATCCATAGTGACATCAACAATTCAGGCTGACGACATAACAAGAAGCTTGGTGACCATCTCTCTAATGTCCATACCTGAAAATATATAATATGTTACATTAATGCTTTTGGAAAATTTGTATTTGATACCAGTGCTGATTTGGGCAGATTTATTCTCATTCCAACACAATCTAATTAACATGCAAAACAGAGGTAGGTGAAATGCTATGCTATGGAAACCTTAGGAAGTTCTCCACATTTCGCTTCCCCCAAGTCTATCCAGTCTTTACCTAGATGGGAGACTAAGCAGCTCACCATTTCATATGCAAGAGACCCTCAGTATCCTCATCTTCTGCCCTGAATCCCACTTCAGTTGTACCCTGAGCAAAAACAAGGCCAAAGCCTATCACATCCCCAGACATATTACTGGGCCCGCATAAGAAGATACTCAGGCATGTTCCTATCACTCATAATGCTGCCCATGCAACATTAGTCTCTAGCCAGACAGAATAGCTGCACCTTGGGCTCAGCTTTTATCAACTGTTCATTAAAATATCTTAAGACCAAAACTATAATACTCAAGTGGTCATGTTAATGACCATTTATACAACTGAATGTGAACCAGATCCCAAAGACAATCCCGAATAGTTACAGTATCTGCTTTGCTTTGCTTTAATTTGGACTCTTAATAGTCTTAAAAAAAAAAAAAAAGAAAAAGAAAAAAAGAGGGTGAATCCATAGTTATGCAAAGAGAGATTAATGGATAAACAGTGCAGAATGAAGTACGTGACACGCACACTTCCCAACCACTGTCCATGTACAGTTAATCCTCAAAAACCCAACCATGTATCTCCTGATTATTCTAACAACAGACCTTTGAAGAAAACAAAACAAAAGAAAATGTAGAAATTCTGAATAAATGGGCCAAGCTGCAGCAATGGTTACATGGACACTTGCTTTCAAGATACCAAAAAGTCAGCCGTATTAGCCTCTAATCTTATTAGATTTATAAAACAAATCACCGAGACACAGATGGACCCAATAAAACTTCTGGCAGCTCAGTATAAATGCTCTGGAACAAGAGAGGCTCAATTCAGGTCAGTTTCCAAACCCAAATTGCTCCTGCGGCAGTGCAGCATTCACCTGAGGCTCTGCTTTCAGTGGATTCCATTTCTCTCTGCTCTCCGCTCTTTAGAGAGAACGTCAATAGAAATCTCTACTTTATAACAATGCTCATTTACCCCACAGTTATTTGGTCTTCCTTCAGAGCTCATTTAATACCAGGTAACTAGCGAAAGGTCGCTATACAGCAAGGTAAAATAAAATCCTTTCCCAACAGCAACTATGCCCTCAGACCCAGAAACAAGAAAGATTACCCACATATCTGACATTGATCATTTCTGCTAGCAGAAGGATAATTGCATTTTTGATGTTGAAAACTGTGCCAGATACCTACTTTTGAAACTCCCATTCCCTGTTGTCCAACGGACATACTTGGCGAGTTTTGAGCCAGCGAGAGATGCAGTGGAAGTGGAAAGCATGCTGGAAGACAAAGTTCAAATCACATCATTTCAGAACACACTATTCACAAACATGCCTCAACATGAAAGCTAATACATCGAAAGCATCACGGTAAGAAGAGAGTAGCAAGTGTTTGCAGACAAAGGTGGGCAGGGCTCATCAGCCAGCTCACTGGTAAGCACCAAGGAACTGATGCAAGTTCAAGAGAAAAAGGGAACCTTAGTGAAATGGCAGCAGTCAGCCTGTTCCACAGTAGGCACAGTGGCAAGCGACTGACTTCTGATGAGGAAAGAACGCAGAGTTTAGCAGCTGCTAAAATTGGCAGAGTAGATGCTGATAAGAAGCATAATCAGAGAGGCAAGAAAGAGGATTTCACAACAAGTAGCAGGGTGATATGTACGTAGACAGGCAGAAGCTTTCCGCGAGATCTCTGGACAAACTCAAGCTTGGATAAAAATGAACTTGCAAGGCCAGAAAAAAAAAAAATCTCTATTACACATTTACTGCAGACACTCTATTCCGTGCCCCATACAGGTCCTTAAAAAACAAGGTTCCATTTGTGGTAACTATTGCACAGAAAGTCATAATTTTGACGCTAGACTATTCTGACATGGTTAAAAAAATTGCTTTCGTCTTCTATAGACAGAATCGTAACATTCATAATCCTTTTTGAGGATTACCACATTGTAACTCCATCCCACAGCACAGCAAGGCTGGGGCTGGCACTGAGGAACAGGTAGCTATTCCATTATGGAAAACTGTATCTTCCAGTTCAGGTCCAGGCTAGCTAAGAGATGGTACACCAGTTTGAGTTCACATGCTAGCGGGACCACATATGAAGGAGTGCATGCAGCAGCAAAATGGAAGGGCTGGAGATTAGACACTAAAACTGATTTGATCTTCTTCCAAAAGGGAAAGCAAGTCACCCAGTCATCCCGTATGCACTCCTTGAATCAGCCTGCACAAAGACAAATCAAGCATGCTGACATCCAAGTAATCCTATTATCAGACAAAAGGTGTAACTCCTAAGCAAAACCTTGACCAGGAAAATTATGCTCAAAATTAAAGCTCTATTATGCTTCCAAAAAATAGGACAGGTCCTATCCTCCTCCCTCCTCTTCTGTGTTTCCCCATTACACCTCTCCAACTTTCGTTCTTCCATTTTCTTTTCTGCTATCTCCTCTTCTTTCTACACTCCAGGCAACAATTGGCATTTTAAAGTTCTTTTTTCTGGTGCATTACTTGAAACCTTTTTTAGAACTAACAGTGAAAAAAGGGACAACATCATTACACATTGAGCTTAGTAACAAAACAGTTTCCCTTACATTGCAGACGCCCCATGCAACTGTGCACTCTTCAGAGGTAGCTGACGCTTGGTTGGCTTGACATTCTATGCCTGTGAAAACAAAGATTAAACACGTATATGCAGGAGTAGAAGATCTATATGCAGCACCAACTGGTAGGTTTCTTTATTATAGCAAGTGGAAAAAACAGCTCTTTGTTTTGTTGAATTTATTACATTAGAAAGTGTCAAGAGCTATTGGTTTAATGCGTACTATTTCCCCCAAAAATGTTAGATCAAAAGATACTTCATCTCACCCTCCCCTTTCCTCTAAATCTGTAGTATCCCAAAGAATCAGAGGGCAAGAGTACCCAGCTCATCTGCCAGAAATGTGTGTCTGCTTTCCAAATTTTAAGGAGAAGTATTTCTAATTTGGTTTGTCGTGCTTTAATACACCTTTTCTGATGATCAGTTACCATAGCAGTACTGTAAAGAAAAGTTTACTTAAATTTCTTACCTGGGATTCTCTAAATATAAATTCACTGTCTTGTCAGACATTTTGTACCATAAATTATATTTACAAACTAATTTACTAATTTAAAGCTGAAATGTGTCTCCTCTCTATAGCCCTGTGACAGATGAGTATACCCCCAAAATACTAATGGGAAATACAGTTTAAACCGTATATTTTGAACTTTTAACACCTTAGAGCAGAATACCCAGGATGATCCTGAAAAGGAAAAAGATAACTTAAGATTTTGTGTGGGTTTTTTTTTAAATGTCAGGTGTCACGGATGAAGTGAGTGAGTGAGGAAGGAAGAAAGAACAGCACTGACAAAACAAATTCAGCAACCTGGCTGTCCATTCTATACCCTGAACAATTCAGTCCTGCTCCAGCTAAAGAAGAAACTTAAGGAGAAAAAGAAGACATTCCTAACTTTTTTACAATCAGCAACATAAACCTATTTTAAGACCAACATTCTACTTCCTGCTAAAGGATGCATCTTCAAAACAATGAAAGTCAAGCCCAAAGGGTTTAAAAAGAAGTGCTAGATATAAGATATATGATCAGCTTAGAATTTGATACATGGGTTGGTTACTTTCTTTTTTTGCGGATCTTTTTTCTTGGCAAAGAAAATATCTGAATGAGCTCCAATTCTCTGTGCAATTCTCTGTGCATCACTCTGTGCCTGAATATGCTTAGAGGAAAAGGAATTTGATTCACCAATTAAGGATTTTAAAATGTTCTAAAGCCCCACGGGTTTAGCTGAAAAATACATTCTTCATTTGTTCTGTCCTATTCATCCCTTCCTCCATTCTCCACTCTCAGGTGTGGAGATGAGCAAAATAAGAGCGCCCCATTTTTCATAAGATGTGAGAAAGATCATTTAACCTCAGGCATGAGAACTACCCAAAACAAGACTTGGATTTAAAGAAACTCACTTCCAGCAAGTGTTCTGCAAGGTTTGGATGAACTTATATTTGCGCTAAGGTTTACATCAAGATATGTTATGTAACAGCAGGAAGTCCAAAGCTCAATCTTTGGCCTGCCCATAGAAGAACACAAATTCCAGTGCCGTTGAAATGTCAAATTTCTTAATTCATTAAGCCTTCAACACTTACAGCAATAGAACTATATCTAATTTAGTGAAAGATGCTCAAGAACCTAAGAGCTTCAGCTACTTTGCAGAAAAGTGCACCTTTGCTGAAAATGTACCACTCAAGACTGCTGCAACAATTTTACTGCTACAGCAGTATAGACTCATGGACTTACCGGTTATCATGGGGCATATATGGTTATATGTTTAAATATTTTGAATGATTGAGAAGAAAAGTAGTGGGAGAAGGAAAAGAAATGCATTTGAAGGAAGAAAGGTCAACTGGTAAGCAAACTAACTCAGAAAGTCCCTGACTGCTAAAAGCAAGGAAAATATCCCATCACGCACTATACTTATCTTGATTCTTCTCCTCTTCCCCTGCTGGGAACAGGATATTGGGCATATTAGATCTGAAGTCCATTGAGCCCAAGCCTATGTCATTTGGTCCCTGCCCTGCCAGTGGCCCTAATCTGTGAGCTGTACGCTTCGGAACACAATCATAAAACTTGTTTAGGCTTTTAAGATTCCACTTTGAGTGTGAGGGAGAGGGGAAGAAAGATGGCTTAGGTAAGGGGGAGCAGCAGCACTTAAATTCATTTTAGTGTTACTCAAGCATTTGTTGATCAGCCAGTACAGTCTAAAACAAACGACAGTTTAAGAGGACAGATGAGCTTTTGCAGAAATAGCTGAGCAGGAGTTCTCTGGTGGTGATGTAAGGCCCTCCCAACAAGACATCCAGATTTAACTCCCTCATCAAACAGGCTGGAGACTACTGCTGGCACAATCATCTTCGGCTGCCAAAAAAAAAGGCTTCCCAAAATCACTTCTTGGTCTCTTACTTGCCTAATTTCAAAAAAGGAAAATATATCAACAAAACAATAAAACAAAGGAACAGTCTCAGTCAGAGAATGAAAGCCCATGATTCTAGCCACCGAAATAAAGAAAAGCTATCTACTGGCTATTGACCCAAAGTAAGTGATAAAAGATGGACAGTAACAGGTACCAGAGGAGGAATATTGAACTACTCTTCTTTTGCTTTGCTTTTGGCAGAGCATCTGGAATGAGAAAGATACAGCTAAAACCTGAACTACGTGTAATAATTGTGAAAGACACAGTGCAAATGTTTCAACTCAGGCAGTTACAGAAATGCGTATTATA